CATATCTAAGGCGAATTCTAGACGGAAAGATTTCCCTCCATTTGCTGGTACAGCGCACCGGGACTTATAATAAAATACAGTGTTCCAAAGATAGCACCAAATTAATGGGAGACGAGACTGTCACTAGTTGACCCAAAGAGATCATATTTATATATAAAGAAGGGAGCATACAACAGTAGGCCATAAAGTGCAACGTATGAAGAACACGGAGAAGCCTAATTAGCCTCAATCACGTGCCTGTGTAAATGGGACATGTTCCCAAGGATTTTGTTTTGGGACCCATTGGTTCTCACTTGGACGAGTGACTAGCTAATCTCAGCCAGTCATCCATATTTGAAAAAAAAACGAGTGCCCGTATCCCAGTACAAAATCGTTTAACCCTCTTCACTGAACGCATGCAACTCTCATCATGACTTTGAAAGTAGCGTAGTAGCACTATGGTCTGTGTTGACCAGGTGAAACCTAATGGATCTTCAGAGTGACCGCGTGCTATTTTCAGGAACTGACACCGGTATATTGTCCTAATTATTCAGCAGTGTTGGATAAAGCTCGAAAGATGCTTCAAATGCATCGCGTGAAAATTGGCAACCCTGTTGAACGCCTGTTGAACAACTATAGTCTTTGTTTAAGGTTTCCTCTCTAAAACACCAATTTTCTGGCGTGTGCTCTCTTGTAAAATGTCAAATTTACCTAAGTTTCTAGCTATTGACGCCAGGCATATAATAGGGTTTCGTCTCTGTTCCAAAAAAATGAAAGTAACGAAGTTAATTTTTATTGACAACTCCGGTTCTCTTATGTAAACAGGGTTTCTACCAGCCACGTGATGGTAATTTGAGAGTAATCGTTTGTCAAGTATATGTCACCTTCGATAAGCTTTTGGATGACACATTCTATGACCCACAAAACCCTGTTTTTTATGTTATGATTGTTGTAGGCTTTTGGCGCCGTGGAAGCCATGAGTGATCGTTTGTGCATTCACTCAGGCACTAAATACCAAAAAGGATTGAGTGCGGTTGACTTGCTCTCCTGTTGTGAGAAATGTGGTTACGGGTGTGACGGAGGCTTTCCAGCGCAGGCATGGGACTATTGGTCGACAGATGGTATAGTCACCGGCGGATCGAAAGAAAATCCAAGCGGATGTCGATCCTACCCTTTTCCGTCATGTTCACATTACAGGAAAGGAAAACACCCAATGTGTCCATCCAAAATGTATCACACTCCGAGATGCACAAAGAGGTGTGATACAGAGAAACTTCTTTATTCCGCAGAACTCACCAAAGGTTAGCGTTTTCTTGATTCCTGAAATGCTCTCAGACATTGTTCTTATTATATAGGAATCGGGACAGCCAGCGAGCTGTTGTCATGAAGTAGAACATCATACAATACAGCGTCGTAAGTATCAAGTTGAAAAATTTAAGACGTTTGAATTCAGACTGAGAAATTTATTTGATCTACATGCACTGGTCGAATTCGTTGACGATACTTGATATAGTTATAAAAATGTGCAATTATAAAGTGAAAACCGCTCAGAGGAAACACTTACATAACCCGTCGTTTATTTGAATACAGAGTAGTATATTCTGAGCCATTCGGTCTGGCAAAAATGCCAATTTTTCAGTCGTCGACATACTTTATTCATTTTGCTTGAAAATGGCTACCGTCTGACGTGATTAGTTAAACCAATCAATTGATGTGGATGTTTACATGTGTTCTTACTGAATAACGCGATTCATATGAATGTGTCTGCCCCATGTTTTCTATTTTCATCTGCAGAGTGCATACCGCCCTTTGCAGACCCATAAATGCTATGTGCAGTTTTAGCCTGTGTATTTGAACTAATAAGTGTTTGTTAAGCAAACACCTAATTGGTTTAACACAGACCACCAGTATTCAGATATACCGGTGCGACTAGAAGCATTAAGCCCACTGCTGGACACTGGGTTCTTTGGCTGTGTCAGTTGCTCAGCGTCATCAACAGATCACCTCACTCATCAAAGACAGACAAGGTTTCGGAATAACTCTTTGATCCGCTGGTGAATAGTATGGGTGAGATTTCTCGATCAGCTGCGGGAAGTCAGGAGTCAGTATTTACTCTTCGATTTCCTAAGAAGCGCAGCTCGTTAAACTTGGGTTGAGTGATAAGTGAATAGTCGTCTTTAAGGTAAATTGCAGCGCCGAATATTTCGTTATCTATCTGGCTAATTAGTAGTAGCATATCCGTGTGCATAAATTTTCGTTCGGGGAATTTCAAAGACCAGGATTTAGTGTTCTGTCCACTGTAATAATAAAATGATTGCTTTGTAGCGTTTTGCATGCGAATTCTTCTCCGGCAACCTATTGGTAAATGAAAAAAACTGGCGCCGAAATCATGCGTTCTGTCAAACCTGATCCGCTCATTCTCCCTGTGCTCTATTCGAAAACTGACATTTCTTTCCTACGTTCCGATATTCCGAACTTTCCACGTAATTCGAACTAGCCACTCGTAAGTACTTTTACGAAATCGGATTACGTTGTGAGCTTCGAACAATCCTCCGTGACAATCCACTCTCACACATTTGGATTGGCGAAATGTAGGGTCGTCCTTCTGAACATGCGGTCACTGAACACTCTTCTCAATCCCAAGAAGAAGCATTCAAATTTGTAGCACGCTTTATGTCTCTCGAAATTTATGTTGGTTCCGACCATTGTGTGACGAGTGAGGTTAATGTACAAATCTCTAAGCTGTGGTCACGCCCGGATGAGCGTAAGCATGCATATCCCTATGTGTATGCGGAGCATTCAAGTCTCTAGGATACTTGTGTTTATTGTCACCGGGAAGCAATATTCCACCGTTTCATCGCATGGGTTTTATGACTGAGTGTAAAAATGTTCTTGAGTGCTGATTAGTGAATTGTGTACTCATCTGTCGATGGAAAGGCTGACGAGCAAACTAGCAAAGCTCAAATAAATCACATAATATTAGCAAGATGAATCAGGGTGGAGATGTGCTCGTGTTGCGTGAAATTATGTGAGAATGAACGCCATGCATCAAGCTGAACGGATTACATGATTTGAATGTGGACGGGTTTGTGTAAGTGACATATCAGTTTGCACACGTTGTTGCGGTAAAAGTGTACGGAGTGAAATGGCGACATTTTCTAGCAAAAATTTCTATCTGCACATCCGCCATTGGAGGCAGAAATGTTTTTGAAAACTAGATGAACAACCTGCTCTATTGCGGTTTATTTATCCAGATCTTCGACCCTAATTCCCTTTTAAGGACCAATAACCTAACACTTGCAGTGATGTTGATCTTGGATAATGTCTCAAAAGGAGGCTATTCTAAAGGAAGGGTTATAATGTTTTTTTCTCATCAATAGTGCATCAGTGTGAAATGTCTCTCAAAAAGAGAAGGGCCTTCCGGTGAAAAACAGTGAGATTTATGTTTCACGGTGTTCTAAGCTGGAACTAAATCCACTTAGCTCCACCGACTGTCATACGAATACTCAGGTTCCCGTATAAACCAGCTGGGGACAAAATGTTTTACCCGTAAGTCAAAGGGTTCATAATCAATTCATTCTCAGAACAAGTGTCATAAAGCATGCTTGAAACAAGGTTTTTTTCACCAATCAATGTTCATTGTGTTTATTCTTACTTTCAGCGAACAGCTCTTACAACGTGCCAGATTCTGACAGGGAAATCATGATAGAGATCATGAAAAACGGGCCAGTGGAGGCAGCTTTCGATGTGTACGAAGATTTTCTTCATTACGAAACGGGGATCTATTTCAACGCTTGGGGTCAGTACGTCGGTGGACACGCCGTTCGTCTGTTGGGCTGGGGTGAGGAGAACGGTGTTCCCTATTGGTTGCTGGCCAACTCATGGAATGAAGAATGGGGTGAAAATGGTTACTTTAGAATTTTACGGGATGGAAGCGAATGTGGCATTAGAAACGATATCAGTGCAGGACTTCCAGACTTATCATCGATAGTGTGGTAGTTGCTTCAATTGGCCGCCTATTTTTGCTATTTTATCGCTGAAGTGAGGAGAGAAAACGACTTCGAGCTCAAGTGTGATCAAGTCTCTATAATATTCTTATCATAAAATATGATCAAAAGAAAAAAGTTATGAAAATTTTCTTTTTGGATGTCGGATTTCGTGACTTTCCCGTCCATCTCCCATAAAACAAAGTACATATGTGCTATTTCTACTTGTGGTTTGATAACGAGCAGTTTATCCATGATCTACTTACGTTTACAAGACTAATCTTCTGCTAACCCCACTGTATCCAGTGAGTCCTAATATAATGATAGATAAAGCGTGATCGGCACCCCAACATGCTGAATCAATTTTGCCGATACTGATTCACCACATAAGTGATTAAGAAGAACTATGTACCTAATGGAGGCAATTCAGTTAAACGGAAGCTACTATCAGAATTTAGTTCCTGACAGATTACCGTTTGTCTATTTGCAGTCACATTGCATGCAAATGGTTCACAATATTTTCCTGTGACTGAGTTTCCTCCCTTGTATTAGAAATACCTCTTTCGAATACACAGGTCTGTAAAATTTCTGTAACAAAGTGATGCATTTGATTGGAAGGAAGCCACCGGGCACCTAATGTAGGTTATTCGATCATTCTGGGCGCTTTTCACGATGATAACCCAACATTTCTTCCCTTAAAATATGTGGCCTGAAGCATCCGGTTTACAACCAACCAAAATCCTACTCATCTTTGAGAGCATACCAACTGTTAATGCTCCTGGGGCTGGTGCTGCAGGTTAAAGAGTCCTTCTTGTTGGCCTACCATCCCTGTCGCAATCCAGTCAGGTAGACCGACTAGGTCAAGCTAAGCGATTTGAACTATCGATTATGGACTGTAATCCATTTACTAAAGGTAGTTTATTCCAGATTTTCCGACTTAGTTCGCTCAAAAAGGGCTTGTGTGGGAGTTATAGCCGAGTATTGGAGTTGATAGCATGATCAAATAGTTGGTGCGGGATCAAGAGGTAGGATTCTGGGACCAACGCACAGAGGGCGATAGTTTGTTGCGCAAGCGCCACTGACTAGTACGTCTGGAAGTGTCAGCAAGCGTTGATTACTCGAGTTTCATGTCTCCATCCAAAGAGATGGCAGCTTAAATGCTATTACTTTTCTGTTTTACTGCAAGGTCATAGACTGATGGCCCCTATATCGTTTTTCACCAGCACAAGGCAAAGCTAGTGAGCTGTTTTTGGTGCACAGTCTCCTCATAATCAAATTACATTATCTATAAAGCGAGACTAGCTCGTTCATTGGGGGAGAGCTCCCGAAACCATCTAATGTACTTCAGCTTTGTTGATTGCACGTCCCAACTTTTGAGGTTCCCGATACGGAACTTTAAGTGACGCGTAGGCTCGACATTCCCGAATATCAAAAGGAAGAATTGGGTTCGTAATTCTACGGTACTATTTACATAAGGGTAAGCAAATATTCACGTTCATAGCGTCAACAAGTTCACCAGTCTGTCACTGACCGGCACAGTGCAGCGTCAACGTGCGCAAACAGCGGCGAGCAGAGTGATGGCTCAGCAGCGTGGGTTACGGTCGTCCCTCCCGACGACGGTCTCGTGATTCTCATTGGACGTGCGATAACACGGAACTCATGAGAAAACAAGTCAAGGCAGGCTCAGCAAACGGGACGTGAACACAGCAGATTCACACACCACACAGACACACATGTCAATATACAAGTGTCGGAAAGGATGGCTCTGCGGAAAGGTGAGTGGCGTGTAGGAATAAGCAAAACAACTGGAGATCAAAAATATATAGGCGGAGTAGGCAAATAAATGGGGTCAAGTTGGATTCAACACCAACCACATCCGACCTGGTTGGTCAGAGCACAGAGGTCTGATGAGGACGCCCTTTTGAATATCCAGGTTGTTGCTCGGAGGTAATAGAGTGGGTTTTTCCTAAAAAAAGCCTTGACTACTGTGGCTAATTCCTGGGACCCATCGGCTGCATTTAGGCCTGGCTTTTGAGAGAAATGCTTCGTATAAGAGCTCAAGTTGTCGTCCTGTCCAAATGAGGGGATCCGAAGGGTACCCATTCCGCATGGAACTTAGAATGTCACATAAAAAATATGGTCAGGTGGCTTTGGTCGTCGCGCGGTCATTAACCAAATCGCCTTGTTTGCTGAATACAACAAGTTGAGTAAGCAGAGCCGTCACCTACTGGTGACTCCCTTCTTGCACACTCATATGTCTCCTCCTCTCTCCTGTCCCATCCCAGTCCGGCACTAGGAGTAGTCAGTCTGTTTGAATCTAGGGTCCTAGGCGTCCGCCTTTTTAACAATGAAAAACATCGAGGGTGGCTCATATTGATTTCCTTCGATTTTGGAAAGCAAGAAAGACCATTAGCACTTGTGTTGTTACAATAAATTGCGTCTATGTTAATTTATGCTGCATTTCTGAATAAAGAATCAGAACAGACGTAAGCACTCCTGTGCCCCATAGTTGCTACCGATGTTAGATGGCGTCAACTAATTTGTTACGATGTGATTGGTAGACGGGTTTTTGACCGTACAGCAGGAACTTCACCTGTCAAAAACACAAACACCATCAGCTAAGAAGACTCAGTCATGTACAATGCATGCGAAAATATTGTTTATTGAGACGACTATTTTGTTTGGTTCTGCTTCAGAAGTGGACGATGTCGGGCTTATCAGAAGACCGTAACAGAGCACACAAATAATTTTGGTGTTTTGGTGCTATCCGCCCTCGAAATGGGTCCCGTTGACCACCTGCGCTTGACTGGAAGCTTTAAACCAAGTTGTGGCCAGTCTGCGTCAGTGGCGTTTGACATGTCAGTTTCTTTCTAGCTCGTTTGAACGAGCGTCTGGGAGTGTAAGGACCTCAGAATAAGGGAGGCAGTCTTTCGTCCGGTCCTGTGAAGCAGGAGTGGATGAAGCAGTACCATCCACTCCTATTTACTATTTTTCTCCTTGAGGCAAAAAGCCTGACTGAATGGGAAGTATCTGTGCAGGAGAGTGTCAACACTGACGCTGCCATCTCTGATGATGGTCAAGAGGATGACTTCTTGCTACCACAACCATGATACATTTGCAAGTTAACCGAATGATATCTCCAAATTACCTAAACTGCTGCAAAGATGCTGCAGAGATTCACTATCACCTACCAAGGCAATTTTACTGTGAAATAAGGCATTTCGATGGAATTACTTGACGTAACACAATAGTGGCCTACCAATTTTTATGAAGCTGGTCCTGGAACAGAGGGTTGCCGCTCGTAGATTTTTAACGTTATGCAGAACTCGAACAAGCAATCTCTGTTCATCATATTTTCTAAGCCTTATGCCGCATAACATCCACGGTTTGTTTCGAGGAAAGAAAGCGCTAACATATTGCAACACATGTATTTTTTGCGTTAATGCGGGATCCTAAGAGGACACGACCTTCTATAACGGATGTTTTTGGCACCAGTCTCCAGAGGTTTAATCTGTGTCGCGTCAGTCTCTCATGCTCAATCATAAAATCACGGTGCTTGTTGTTAGTGTTGCTGAAATCCCTGAATGTAACCAGCTGTGATAAACAGGCTTAATTCGACGATTCATATCCTAGATGGCTTGCTGGCAGTTTTGATAAGTGCAGAGAATTTATCGTCAGCGATGTATTCTGCAGCGCGAAGTCCTAAGTGGTTAAATGGGACTGATCAAACATCCCCAACTATCTTTAAACTGGGTGAACTCTCTCATTAATACCAAGTGCGGAAGATTTACTCGCAAGTGCACCATTCTTATGCTTTCCTTTAGTAGTCTGAAATCTAGCCTTGTTCACTAGGTGGCGCAATTTTCAATATACTCATTTGCACATCAACTGGGTTATCACGGGAGACTATTAAATATCTCGTTTATGACATTCTTTAACTGATTACGCTGCACAAAGGCCACCACAGGTTTCAGTTCGTCCATATGAAAATTGAGCGCAGTAAGGTAGTGTCGATTCTGGCCCCTCTACTCGCTCTCTTCAACTTATTTTACAAATAGCTTTAATTCTTTATTGTTTGGTGGCTGGTAAGTAGAAGCTATGCAAAAACGCGAGAATTGTGTGAGTACCGTTAATACGATTAGACTCTGAATACGTGCAAGCAAGTATTCTAAGATTTTCGGATTTCTTCTATCTTTGCTAAACGATTTCTCAGTGGATGCTCAATTTGATTATTGCTCGGACTCCCCTCCTCAATAAATTGGACTCGTGCACGTGAAAACATGCATGAATATCTGCAAGAATATCTAGTTGTTTTGAAGACTCCTTAATAAACTATTTAGGAAAGCATACATTATTTGTATCTTAGTTGCTGTAATTAAAATGATGAATAGTATTTAACCGCTAAATAAAAAAACTGTGGATAGTCCAAAAGAGTAAACAACTCACACAAATTTTAAACCCAACCCTGAGAATTTGTTAACCAAGTAGCCTGGCAACACGCGACTATGTGATGTAGATTCCATGATTGGAATCTACAGGTATCCTCTCTGCTTGTGAAGTACTCATACTGTTGAACAGCATTTCATGTTCAGACGATCAGTCGTGAACAGAAACGCGGCAGCCTGCGAGATTTGTAGCGGTTCGTGAGATTGACACTGATGATGATTCTCAATAAAGATGAAACAGTTGTTTGCTGGAACGGTATCTGGAATCAAACACCCTTGTCTACTGTTTTTCTTCCTGCTCCACAAATCATATCGCATTCACGACCAGACACCTGCCACCGGTCGCAAACAACATTACGTGAAGACCCTTGTTACTAGAATTAGGCAATAGCGAATTCCTAAGTCGGTTTATGGATTGGTTCCATTAGGTCAATATGACTGCATTTAGCGTCATCTATCTGGTTCTAAGCAACTGGTTTGGCATTGGGCCAGGTCGACTGCCATCAAAATACTGAGGTGAACTTCGCGACTGCGAAGTTGACCAACCAGAGGTCGTTATTCACTCTTTTGGCTACCTGATCACTGAGTGCGCATTTCTGCTTTCTATTACTCTCTGTGTTGACTCAATAATCTGTAAATATAAAACACATTGGAGACTTGCTGAATATATGTGGGTTCAGAAATTCATGTCCATAATGTACACAAAATACTGGACACGTTTGGTTCGGTATCTTTTAGTCAACACATTGTGAATCGCATTGACAGACTTCATTTTATGATATCCTAAAAATCCACTGCTGCTGCGGGAAGTTGATCCGGACATATATCAAAAATCGATTTGAGCTCTAGGCAATGGTGATAGGATTTCACCTATTTATCTAACCAACAGATATCTACATCACATCAGACAAATCGCGAATGCTCAAACATTTATGCACGCGAGATCGCCACCAAGTTGGAACTGAGAATGAGACAGATAACGGCTGGTTCAATAAAAGCTCCTCCTTCCTCAGATTTCGGGTTGCCATTGTAAACCTATAGAAACGGGTTCGCTTGACTGAACGAAGGGAAAATTCCTCCACATTCGGATTTGTTTTAATGTAGAAACTCAGAACATTAGAGGGTAAACGACGAACTCACGCGCACATAACACTTATCAGGAAACATCCAATCACACGTTCCAGTTGTTAACGATTTGCATGGCAGATTTTGCGATCAACTCCCGCTTTCCGCAAAATCCCGCCACCAAGCACAACAAATAGAATACCCTGATACAGTGAAAACGTATTCCACTGGGTGGTAATTCTGACCATCCACTATTTTTTGAGGGGAATCACAAGTCATTAAGCCCTCTTGTGTTGAACAACATCTTACAATTTTCCGCTTTATCATCAGAGGTCCGTAGGTTTCATATCGCGGAATCCGAAATCAGCAGAACTTGTTGCTTGACAAAAGTCGCGCACTGGTTACGTTGACCACACCTTCTAAGTTCTTTGAGTTCTCCAAACATTGTCAGATCGCTTTTGTACGTTAAACAATGTTGGTTTCGTTCAAGAACTGACACTTTCGCGCTCAATTAAGGTTCTCGTACCGAAGGGGGTTTGCACCCAGAAGTGGTCTGGAACTGCACAGCTTATTATGCTCATTATGCAGTCCTGTTCCCAACCGTATACGTCTATAATGCAGGAGAGTTTCCCTGGCACGGATTCAAACAATCATGATGCAAGCAGATGTGGGTTTTCCTCGCCAGCTGATAATTTCACATCTAAGTAACCTTGTCATATAGAAGTTGGTGCACCTTCAGCCTTAAACCTCATGCCTAATCAAATTTAGTGGTCGGTTTTACCACTCAAAGTTTCGTATGTTTCTCATGGAAAATAGCACAGTCTCCCTAGTGATCCCGAATACTGTGAGGACATCAAGATTTCAGAACGGTTATACCCGAGCTTCTAGTTTTCCAATGTCCCTCCTGTTATTTGGCAGTGCCCTGTTATTTGTCTATAAGATGGTCTCAGCCTTCCGGTTTCCAAGTCTGGATTTCATAGTCGATATTATTCTAGACTAATTTTGTGGAATCCGCTAACTGCTCCAGACTTCATTTGTCTTCAAAATTAAGCGCCATTTGTGTAAATTCGTATTTCAAGATTCATCATACCAGATGTTACTAGTCTCCAGCCGAAATTTGACGGCGACATATTCATAAACGGAAGGTAACGC